CCCCAAAACCCCAAAACCCCAAAACCCCACCTGGGAAGGAAGATATTGAAACCGATCTTGTTATTTATGGTATCGATGGTCTTATTCCTCAAAAATAAGACCCTTACAAGCTTGTGGTTGCTTCTTATCTGTTATAATCGATTGGAGTTCTGTAATAACTACCTAGATAATCAATATTCCCTGTCTTTTTGAGATAAGAATGCCTGGAGTCTGAATCTTTTTCTATAATATTTAGGTAAAATTCAGGAAATTTAGAAACTGATCTGGAATTAACAGAATTTCTTGAAAATTTTGGCTAAAAACATACCAATAATATATTCAGAGGGAGCTTTTTCTGTGCGAGGGATGAATCCTCTCTTGATAGTGTACTCTCCAGGGCCTGGAACGCCATTACTGGAGTTCCTTTTGGGCTTCCAGGAGATACTGAATGAAGGGCCTGAAACTTGTCTCCGGACTTCATGAGCTCCAGGGCCAGGTTCGTATTTATTTTTGATAAATTTGTTTTAGGAATTGGCTTTTACCAGATTTCCCAAAACTTCATTTATGCACTGAGGGAAGCACATGGGAATAGTTTGGAGAATACTTTGTCGCGTTTGGTGGCAGTCTCTTTTCCTCAAAACTCTTATGCAGCCTTTCCATTTCTAAACAGTATTATTGGCGATTTTGAGCAAAATCGAAAACTTACCTCTGTTACGTGAAATTTTCAGCCCAGAATTGCTCCTACCAAACCTGAGATTGAGGAACGCTTTGAGCTCAGGGTCTTCGTCATTCTGATAGATTTTGTAGTGACCAGGACCAGGAATTTCGTCTTGAGGATTTTTAATAGTAATCTTGCTTTTCAAAGTAGCAGCTTTAGAGCATTTTCCAAAGAAATAGTTACCCCCATATGTGCCAGGTCCGGGAGTGCCTGAGCAATTTAGAAATAACTTATTTTTCCTGATACTTGAAGTAAAGGAAACTCCTTTGCAGTCCTTGCTCCAATCTCTTTGTCCTTGATAGCATATGGGGAGCCCTGGTGGCTCCCTTTTAGAGCAAGCAGTGGAGGCTTTATCAGAACTGTGGTTTCGAGTGTGGTATTTTAGGAAGCTGATCACCGATTTAGTGTTTTTATAAGTAGGGTTATGAGAGGCTGTACGGCTTGAGGCGTGGTTCCGGGAATGGGCATGCTGATTCTTGGAGTTGAGTTTAGAAACAGTGGTTTGACCAGACTTAATTTTTGTATTCAAGATGGGATTGCTTAACATTGAAGGGCTGTTTGAATTTGCTTCATCTAACAGAGGCTGATTAAGACATATCGATACAATAAAGCTTTACAGCCTTTAGAACACTTTGTGCAAAAACTCTAGAAGAAAGAAGTTTACCTCTGATATTCATCAAAGAGTCACGATTTGATCTCGAATGGTTTGAGTGATTCTGGTTCTTTTGTGGGTCCTCAACTGCTACTAAAAGGGTTAGAAGCACCAAAGCTTACTTGTATCGTTGGCCATATTAATTAAAAATTTATTTATCTCACTTTCAGTAAAACTAATTTGCCACGGGGTTTTGGGGTTTTGGGGTTTTGGGGTTTTGGGG